GTACAGTTGTGTACGTTCCTCCTCAGAAACCCCATTGTTCTGTTTGCTTTATTGATGATGAAGTCAATGTGTGTGTTGAAGGTAAGGTTGTTGGGTAAGTGGATGCCGAGGTATTTATATGATGCTGTAGGTGTCAAGTGTTGGTTATGTAGGGTGTAAGTGTAGTGAATTGGTGCGTGATATTGCTGACTCGCCTAAGGCACTGCTAACATCAACTGTCACTTTGCTAACATCAACAAGCTACTCCTATCACTACAAACAACAGAGCTGCAAACTTACGAAGTGTATCAGCATTTAAAACTGATAGCAAAAAGTAAATCTCCTGGCCCTAATAGATCCCGCTAAGATTACTGCGAGAATTCGCTGCCAAGCTCATCTATAATAGCTTCATCATGAGCTTGGTATCTGACATATGAAAGTGCCAGAGAAAGCTCAATTCTCTACTGCTTAGTTGACCTCATCAGTTATATATTACTTCAAATATAGACAAACGACTGGAGGTGACCACCATCACCAGTAACCTCATGAAAACGTATAATCTCATCGACCACACCACCTTAATTAAGAAAATGATTTCCCTTGGACTTCACGAGAGCTGGCTGAAATGGATCTCCTTCTTCAACCTTCTCTCCCAGAGGACTCGTGCAAGTATCAAAACATATAATGAGATTAACCTTTACTGCGGTCCTAGGCCTATTATTGTTCCTGATAATGTTAAATGGGGAAAATATTGCGCAGGCGAAGATCTACAAGTATGTCGAGGACATGACACGACACACAAACTTGAGCAAGACAACATCTTGTTACAAGATGCCTTAACCAAGTGTCAGGGTGAGCACCGTTAAACAGAATGTTAGTCAACACCAAATAGTGCACAGAAACAAAATTCAAATTTAAAAAAATTAGCCGTCTGTGATAGTGCTCTAAAATAGGTAAATCGTTTTTAACACCTCAGAGTTTTTTCATGCTATCTAAATTTAATTATGAACGACTTTAATTCGACCAATCGAATGAAAATGCACCACTAGTCTGGCATTCGGCCATTATCAACGAAAATGTTAAATTAGAAAGGCTTCAAAATAGAGCACTGTGGATCATAACTGGACCAAACTACACATACGAGTATACTAATGTGCTAAATTAGCTACAAATCCCCTCATTAAAAAAAAAAAAAAAAAAAAAAAAAAAAAACGGAGCAAATTTTTAGTAGAAAACTCGCTCATAAGATCTTTACAGCTCCATGAGGATGTAAACAGCAAGTCATGTGAACCAAAGTGTCGTACATCCAGATATTATGTCAATTGTACCCTATTGTATTATAAACATATATGCCCATATTGTAAAGTAACCATTTTACGTATATAACTGTATATATATATATATATATATATATATATATATATATATATATATATATATATATATATATATATATATATATGCATTTTCATTTTCCTTGCAGAAAGCTACAAAGCCCAAGGACCCTTGTTGTTCTTGCTTTCATCACAACGGCTACGGTTGTATGTGTATTGCCGAATACAAACCAAATCTTAGTAAAGGTCAAGAATCAATATATATTCAACAGTAAGCGTCAGGGAGAGGGGTACAGATTTGTCTGATTTGCATCAATGAACATGATCACATTTCATGTATGCATGTTATATATACTGATTCATTCAGTTCATGATGTCTGATTTTTTGCCATTGCTTTCAGATACTGAGTATGATGCTTCAGAGGAATATGCGGATGGAGACCAGGATTCTCAAGAGAACAAAACTCAGACATCAGCACCAGAGATTAGCATAGAATGGTGGCAAAAAGAGTTATGTAAGCCAGAAGTTTTGCAGCTTCAACCTACCACGACCTATTTGAGGTTACCAATGCTTGGCAGGTATCATAACCCGTTGCATTTGCTGTACCAAACGTGCAATATGTTTCTTTAATTAGCAATAATTGGTAATTTGAGAAAAAAATACAAAACACTTATTTTTTCCCTAGAGACATCATACCCAGCCCGAATGACTACAATGTGTTCTTGGGAGAGACCGCATGCAATCCTCAGCCACTGTATAGGGCATATTGTTCTGTCGAAAGGTAATTTTCTTTTGTAAATCACGTTTTCTGTGAATGGCTTTAAGCCCCCTTAAGAATGTTTATTCATAGTAAATTAATGAAGGTACAATACTACAGATTAACTAGTCTGCAGGTTGTGGGCTGTATACTATACATACATTAGTTGTAATTTTGGAAACAGGACATCATAAAAAAAAGAGTCTCTCAAGATCCAAGGTTTTCATACTTTCTCTTATTCAATTAGCTATGCACACGAAAACCCGACAGCGAAGGTCTGGTACCACACTACATCCCCGCTGATCGACAACGGAGACGGCCTATTCACGAACCTCGAAGAGGCCTACGAGAACCTGAAAGTTGTAGGCACTGACCTCACCAAGATTTTCAATGGAACTCCGTGCGAGAAAGTATTCATGGCAGGGAAATGGGCGCACAATACGCGTGAGTAAAGATATAGAAAAGCTGTGATGTTGATTTTTTTCAAATTACAAAGATACCCATCTATCTGTTTCTTTACATCAATACACACACAAAGATTAAATCTAGAAAAACGTTTCTTTTCATATGCTCTACTTCTCTTCTCTAAACACCAAGAGTATGTTCTATCTTAAGACCAAAGTACCAGCACTACTAAATCGAACTACTAAAGCTGCAAACTACTGGCTGTTACCTTTCCGAAGATAGTTGGAAAATTCGAGGGATATCCTCCTTCAATTACATTTTCTATATCATTCCTAAAATTATTTCCTCTAGTAAAAGTACCTACTACACACACACACACACACACACACACACACACACATATATATATATATATATATATATATATATATATATATATATATATTGTAGAAAAGGTATGAATGAGAATGAATATCTTTACAATACAATGGATGTATATGACCGGTTTCGATTATATCTTTGTAAGAAATAAATGATGAGCATATTATGGCATTGAGGCTGAAGTATGCTTATTGCTTTGTTTCTCTTATTGCTGTGTACACTCCAACGGACGTTCGTAAACTCGATACTCACATCTGTGGCAGACAGATGTCTCCAACGAGACATTTGCATTGTACTGGGGACTTCAGTGCAGTACCCTACTGTGATCGAGCTGGCTATGAGATGTCTGTCAGTCCCCATGGCTAGGGAACTGATCTCAGTAGCGAGAACAGCCTTCTTTCTCTGGGACTTCGCTAGGTCCTAGTATCAGGGCTCCAACCCTCGTCCTTGGACTTGGTATAGGGATACAGGTACTGTGGCCAAGGAGATCGACCACATCCTTGTTAGCACTTGCTAGAGGTTCCTTCAGAAGTGCAGGGACGCCAAGTTCTGTAGCACTGACCATACATTGATTATAGCGATCCTATGAGTCCACTTCAAATCGCCCTGTCTCTCCAGTGGCCACTCTAGGATGTTTCACCTGTACAGATTGGGGCAAGAGGAGTTTACATGTAAGTTCGCCACAACAATCTCTGATCGGATTTGATGGACCCTGTCACTCTATGGGATTCCTTTAAGTATGAAGTACGATGCACTGAAGGATTCTATTGGTGAATGCCTGAGGACAATGCAGAATTTCATCTCACTAGAGACACTAATGGTGCGTGTTGTCTAGTCAGAATGGATATCAGGATTTGTGCTGTTCCTTGGTGCGCAGGGCATGGACTCTGCTGAGGGGATAAGGAACAATTCATCAAGAGTCTTGCAGAGGAGGTTTATGGCCATTTCCTAGTAAATGGCTTTTGTCCTGCCGAGCAAGCCTCGTCACATTTGACTACAGTCCACTCAGTATATGGAGAGATCATCTCTGATCATGATGGAATTTGTAAACATTGGGCTGAGTATTTTGAGCAACTGTATCAGGTAGATCCTCCAGCAGCTAGTGTAGACACAAGCATTGTTGCAATTCTTGTGTCACCCCCCACCCCATCAGTGATGATCCTCCTATCGTGATTGAGGTCAGGTAGATAATGTCTAAGCTGAAGAGTGCAAAAGCTGCAGGAATATACACTATCCCTGCTGAACTGCTAAAGGCTGTGGGTGAAGCAGTAGCATGGGGCTTGCATACTGTCTTAGCAGCCATGTAGCAGTCCAGTTCCATTCCCCCTGACCTGTCGAGGGGCGTGGTCATCTCTCTCTGGAAGGGGAAAGGAGATCGTTAGGCCAGTAGCAACTACTGTAGTATCACATTGTTCAGTAAACCAGGCGAGGTTATTGCCCACATTCTTTTGTAATGGATCTACAACTACTTACAAAAGCACCAAAGTTTGGAGCAGTCTAGATTCACTCCTGCCGAGTCCACAATGGACCGTATACTAGCAGTTTGAGTCAGTGTGGAATGCCGGCCTGTAGTCTGCTTGCAGTCTACAGCCTAACTCTAATAACAAGCCTATATATTGGTACTGAAAGTGCTGTAAAGTGTGGTTAGGCCTGTCGAGCTTCTTTCCTGTTGAGGCAAGGCCCTTTTCAACACTTGTATGGACTACCTAATGGGCAGAGCTACTGTCCAAAATCAGTGTGGAGCAACACTGGGCAATAAAGTCACAGGCCTCGACTTTGCCAACGATGTTTTGCTATCCTGTCTGAGTCCCTAAAATCTTTGGTGGTGGCTCTTGGTGAATTCAGCAATGAGGCAAAGCACCTGGGCTTAGAGGTCTGGACCAAGATCAAGATCCAGGAATTTGGGGGCCTGTTAAGAGAACCTGTTCAGTCGATATAGGCTTGTGGCAAGGATGTCGAAGTCACAGAGAGCTTAATATACCTTGGCAGTGCAGTCCATGTCTTTGGGCTGTCAGTCTGTAGATGGATTGGTCAGGTAGCAGGTTCTGGTACCTATCGAGGACTAATGTTTTCAAGGCCTTGATACTTCCAGTTTTGGTCTTTGGAAGTGAAACCTATACCCCATCTAATGCACTGGATTTGCTTCTCGATGCCTTTTCGTAACGTCTCTATCCTGGATTGGGGGGTACAGTTGGCAGGACCATATGTCCAACCAAAGACTACATCGTGGGCCGGCATGGGATGTTACTTGAATAATCCATGGCCGCCAACTCAGGCTATATGGGCACCTAGCTCATTTCCCAGTGTATGAACCTACCCCTCAAATTGTCTCTTTCTGAGATAATCCTCTGTGGAGACCCTTGGGAAAACCTAGAAAGTCGTGGCTTGGGCAGCTCTAGCAGACCTATCATGAAAAGCTAGAGATGGGCCGAGGTCCTGCCATGAGGTTGGAAGTGGAGGGTGGTTGCTATGTGCCCCGTCTGCGTCAGGTCCTTTAATGATGATAGTGATTAGTGAAGCTGCCAATGCTCTTTGATTGGTCGATTTTTTTTTCGAGCTAATGCTGATTGGTCACTTGAGCCATTCTTTTGGGAAATAAAACCCTACGATACCTAGGGATAGAAAATACAGTCCTAACGGTTATGAGACCGCCCTATCTTGCTTTTGAGCATTTGAAAATGAGTCATAGTATCACTTCTTGAGAAATTGTCGATGCTTCTAATATTTGTTAAGAGACACAGCGTTTACAAGAGAGTTTAGTAAATCTGGTCTATCTCTGCTCTCCCAGGATCTGTTTGAGATATTTATGGCCATCTGCTGTCCTGATGACTAGGTTTCCTTGATTAATAACAAGAAAATACACACATGTACAGTTTACTTATTGCTGCATTTTTTTTTGTTTTTATTATTAATTTCGTTGGATTTTTGGCATGCTTTCACCCTCCTAGATGTGGAATTAGACAAAGGAAATAATTGTAGAAAGTAAAATTAATACGTTGAAACGTGAAATAAGTGCAAAATTTATTTACATACGCACCGGTACACACCTTACACATGGCACACACATCCACATAATTCTGGCATCTTCCCAGCACCCTTTGAAGTAAATGACTAATATTGAAAATAGGTTTTGAGACCGGAAGAAAGGGGTCTGGATATTCTTCCATAAGAATGGTCAAGTAGTTCAAGATTTAATAATCCACAAACACAAACACACACACACACACACACACACACACACACACACACACACACACACACACACACACATATATATATATATATATTGAAACATTAAGAAAATTACCATTGAGAGTTACCTTTAGTGGAGTCAGACACCTTTCGAGGTAATCAAAGGAAGAATTGTAGTGGTTCTTGATTGGCCATTTGTGCAGAACCTCCATGACCCGTGATTGGCCGACTCCTGCCTTGGAACCACCCAAACCTGTCGAGCTAACATCGCGGGTCAGGTTCATAAGCCGCTGGACTTGAGGCGGAGTCATCATTCACATATCGCCTGTTGACCTGACAGCATTTGTAGTTGGTTCCTCAGCATATAAGGAGATAAAATCCAGCTCAGTTTTTATCCAAAATAGAGTCAGCTCGAAAATGTTCAAAAATGAAGATATTTCAATTCGGCCAACATCATCGATTGTGATGAAATATAAAAAGGAATGATAATCTTCCTCAGGCACTCTAAATTAGCAGCTAGAGAGTAAAACTTTCCTTCTAAATTGATCTGTCCAATTCTTGACACGATAATTTCTGATTAGCAGAACTCAGGTACTACTTCAATATTTCCTTACAGCTTGGCCTGCGAATAATATATCCAACTTGTTGAGAAATGTGCTGCTGTGGCTGTGGGGAGGATTGAACAGTGACACCGATTGTATCTGCGTGAGGAACCTTACCCACATACGGAACATGGTTTCTTATGATGAACAGGACAAAGTGGTCAACAACGCCATCATGCACTTCGACGCAGGGCACCCGTTCACCTATGAGCTTATGGAATATCTGAAGGAAAACTTCAAGGTGAAAGCAAAGTAATTTGTTTTAGTTACAGAATCAAGTGCAAATTTAATGATATAATTTTTTTTTTTTTTTTTTTAATATTTAGCCATTTAGGAGCTTAATTCATAAGCCTTGTAACGAAGACACGTTACCAACATTATAAAAATTTAGACTCGCGTCTAACAATCTTACTGACCCTTTTTCAAATCCTGCACTGCCAGTGGATGGTAACCCCGTCCATTTCTTGAGAAATAAACATAAACAAGATTACTAAATTACTAAATTATATTATTTTACATACATTTTGTATACATACACATATTCCTTCTCTTACACAGTATATAACTGCAAATGTGTGTACTAGGTAAGAGTTTACATTAACTTATCCATAAATGAATTTTCCACATCAAAAAGGAGAACATTTAGACGCTTCTGAAAAGGTATGCCCTGGTTTCCCTGTGCCTTCCAGGTAGCCACATGGGTGGTCAACGGCCCTGGGGCAGCAACAGCCATAGCGAAGAAGGTGTGTGGAACAGAGGATCTGAACGAAGTTTTGCTCCATCACTGTGCAAACGTGACACTGCGTCCTCTGAAGGAAATGCAGCTGTTCCGATGGCCTGACTGGAACA